AAATCGACCAACACACCAAACATCACAACAAATGGAACAACACACCAAACATCAAAACAAATGGAACAACACACCAAACAACACAACGCACGGAACAACACACCAAACAACACAACACATGGAACAACACACCAAACATCAAAACAAATGGAACAACACACCAAACATCAAAACAAATGGAACAACACACCAAACAACACAACGCACGGAACAACACACCAAACAACACAACACACGGAACAACACACCAAACAACACAACACATGGAACAACACACCAAACAACACAATACACGGAACAACACACCAAACAACACAATACACGGAGCTACACACCAAACATCACAACAAATGGAAGAACACACCAAACAACACGACACTTGGAACAACACACCAAACATCACAACACACGGAACAACACACCAAACATCACAACACATGGAACAACACACCAAACATCACAACACATGGAACAAGACACCAAACAACACAACAAATCGAACAACACACCAAACATTACAACAAATGGAACAACACACCAAACATCAAAACAAATGGAACAACACACCAAACAACACAACGCACGGAACAACACACCAAACAACACAACACACGGAACAACACACCAAACAACACAATACACGGAACAACACACCAAACAACACAACACACGGAACAACACACCAAACATCACAACAAATGAAACAACACACCAAACATCACAAGAAATGGAACAACACACCAAACATCACAATACACGGAACTACACAACACATGGAACAACACACCAAACAACACAACGCACGGAACAACACACCAAACATCACAACACACGGAACAACACAACAAACATCACAACACATGGAAGAACACACCAAACAACACAAGGCACGGAACAAGACACCAAACATCACAACACACGGAACAACACAACACATGGAAGAACACACCAAACATCACAACACACGGAACAACACACCAAACATCACAACACATGGAACAACACACCAAACATCACAACACATGGAACAACACACCAAACAACACAACACACGGAACAACACACCAAACAACACAAGACACCAAACAACAACACACCAAACAACACAACAAATGGAACAACACACCAAACAACACAAGACACGGAACAACACACCAAACATCACAAAACATGGAACAACACACCAAACAACACAACAAATGGAACAACACACCAAACAACACAATACACAGAGATACACAACACATGGAACAGCACACCAAACAACACAACACACGCAACTACACACCAAACAACACAATACACGGAGCTACACAACACATGGAATTACACACCAAACAACACAACACACGGAACAACACACGAAACATCACAACACATGGAACAACACACCAAACAACACAATACACGGAGCTACACAACACATGGAATTACACACCAAACAACACACGGAACTACACACCAAACAACACAATACACGGAGCTACACAACACATGGAATTACACACCAAACAACACAACACACGGAACAACACACCAAACATCACAATACACGGAGCTACACAACACATGGAACAACACACCAAACAACACAACACACGGAACTACACACCAAACAACACAATACACGGATCTACATAACACATGGAATAACACACCAAACAACAGAACACACGGAACTACACACCAAACATCACAATACACGGAACTACACAACACATGGAACAACACACCAAACAACTCAATACACGGAACTACACAACACATGGAACAACACACCAAACATCACAACAAATGGAACAACACATCAAACAACACAACACACGGAACACCACACCAAACATCACAATACACAGAGCTACACAACACATGGAACAACACACCAAACAACACAATACACGGAGCTACACACCAAACATCACAACAAATGGAAGAACACACCAAACAACACGACACTTGGAACAACACACCAAACATCACAACACACGGAACAACACACCAAACATCACAACACATGGAACAACACACCAAACATCACAACACATGGAACAAGACACCAAACAACACAACACACCAAACAACACATGACACGGAACAACACAACACATGGAACAACACACCAAACAACACAACAAATCGAACAACACACCAAACATTACAACAAATGGAACAACACACAAAACATCAAAACAAATGGAACAACACACCAAACAACACAACGCACGGAACAACACACCAAACAACACAACACACGGAACAACACACCAAACAACACAATACACGGAACAACACACCAAACAACACAACACACGGAACAACACACCAAACATCACAACAAATGAAACAACACACCAAACATCACAACAAATGGAACAACACACCAAACATCACAATACACGGAACTACACAACACATGGAACAACACACCAAACAACACAACGCACGGAACAACACACCAAACATCACAACACACGGAACAACACAACAAACATCACAACACATGGAAGAACACACCAAACAACACAAGGCACGGAACAACACACCAAACATCACAACACACGGAACAACACAACACATGGAAGAACACACCAAACATCACAACACACGGAACAACACACCAAACATCACAACACATGGAACAACACACCAAACATCACAACACATGGAACAACACACCAAACAACACAACACACGGAACAACACACCAAACAACACAAGACACCAAACAACAACACACTAAACAACACAACAAATGGAACAACACACCAAACAACACAAGACACGGAACAACACACCAAACATCACAAAACATGGAACAACACACCAAACAACACAACAAATGGAACAACACACCAAACAACACAATACACGGAGCTACACAACACATGGAATTACACACCAAACAACACAACACACGGAACAACACACGAAACATCACAACACATGGAACAACACACCAAACAACACAATACACGGAGCTACACAACACATGGAATTACACACCAAACAACACACGGAACTACACACCAAACAACACAATACACGGAGCTACACAACACATGGAACAACACACCAAACAACACAACACACGCAACTACACACCAAACAACACAATACACGGAGCTACACAACACATGGAATTACACACCAAACAACACAACACACGGAACAACACACGAAACATCACAACACATGGAACAACACACCAAACAACACAATACACGGAGCTACACAACACATGGAATTACACACCAAACAACACACGGAACTACACACCAAACAACACAATACACGGAGCTACACAACACATGGAACAACACACCAAACAACACAACACACGGAACTACACACCAAACAACACAATACACGGAGCTACACAACACATGGAATTACACACCAAACAACACAACACACGGAACAACACACCAAACATCACAATACACGGAGCTACACAACACATGGAACAACACACCAAACAACACAACACACGGAACTACACACCAAACATCACAATACACGGATCTACATAACACGTGGAACAAGACATCAAGCAACACAACACATGGAACTACACACCAACAACACAACACACGGTACTACACAACAGATGGTACAAGGCAATGCAGAATGTAATACATGACTCAACACAACACTGCTTTCGACAGGACGAACGTTAAAGGGCACAAAACACGAGAGTGGTTGGTTGTCTACCCGCTTCAATCAGACGTCCAATTTCGTCCCAAGCATGTTCAATAGGAGCCATAGGTGGCCTTGGAAGATTGTTGATGCTGTTCTGAGCCAGATACGCCATCAACACCTTGCTATATGAAGACGTGCGTTGTCCTGTAGGCCAAGTGCAGTTTAGGAGGTGCAAGAAACAAGGGAAGTTATCTTGTGCAGGAGTTGTCACTCTGGGTCGATCAGAACGTGGTCGATCAGCAACGGACGGAATTTGCTGGTGACATTTTGACAGTGGTGCGATGACATCCTAACTGTCTGGCTACAGCAGTTGCAGAGTTACAGACCTGCAGCATCCCAAGGGACATTCCTCTTTTCAGCTATAGACCTTCTGGAGTGAATATTGAACCGGTGTTTGACACCCACCTTAATGTAATATACCTCAGAGTGAAAATGAACACGTGTGTTTTCATCCCGGACCACGATGTACAGTTCTTGGTTTCGGTTGCTTATGTTCGTATGCATGTGTGGAATGGGCGCCTTGTTGCATGACATCAATTAGTTCATCTGTCATCATTTCGGCATTTTCCAATCAATTCTTACAAAATGGAATGGGCACACTTACACAATTTCAAACATTTTGGAACTTTCGTTTCTTTTGCTGTTAAGTATATTTTCATAAATACAATGTGTATATGTAGAAATTACTTGTATTTGACTTACTGACTTGACAAATTTGTGTTATACCAAATAGAGTGAGTGTGGTTTTACACCGCATTTATCAATATTCCAGCAATATCACGGCCGTGGATACCAGAAATTGGTTTCACCCATTGTACTCATGTGGAGAATCGAACTGGGGTCTTCGGCGTGACGAGCGCACGCTTTAACCCCTAGACTACCCCAACGTCTCTTCACCACACAGAATCAAGGAAACAACTGTAAATCTAAATAGGTCCACGGATTGTGGGAATTCAGGAAAGAAGAATGTTGTTAACCAGGTTTAGGTCAATGAACTGATCTTTGTTCCCTGTGCTGCTAAATACCCGTGTTGAATGTCCCGGGGATGACAAGTCCAGATATCTTAAAGCATCAACTACAATTAACTGGTGTCGATGAATGGTTCTGATACCATCTCGAAGCGTATCCTCCCCACAGCCAACTCATGTGTTCATGGCAAAGCAAATACATCGCTGCACGCGTTGCGATTGTACGTATGCATCGACATGAACTGGTGGAGAATGTGGACAGTTAATCATATTTGTCTTGTCATGTAAACTAATACGTTCGCAATAAAAGAACCCGAATTGTGGTGACTACGTCACACGTGAACACAACCAGCTTATCAAGTTGTGCTACGACTAGCGTGGGATAAATTTGCTTTGGTAAATTAATTCTTCTCACATAAGCCTTAATCGAAAGTATAGCGTGACCAATTGCTTTTATCGTATCAGTAGTTGCATTCCACTGAAGGCCGACATGTTGAGTGCAGCGTATCACACCCGGAGCCGTCTCGCTACAGCCACTAGACTCGCTATTCAAGGCAGCAGCAGCAGCAGATCCACCCAGCCCTTCAATGAGCCACTGTCAGGCAATGCTATGCCTCGACCAGGAGGCATCGCCTCCATGATGAGACTGCCTGTCCAAGGGGACGCCACAGGTCTGTCTCGGGTTTTTTTATGTTACTTACACCTGAGTGTAAGTGTCTTGTCACCCGACGTCCTATCTTAAACACGTTATGTTGGGTAGGCCTATGTGTTGCATTAGGAAACCAGGTCAGCATCTGTGATCAGGCCGCCATTGTGTGGTTGTGCAATGTCATTGGGTAAAATACAGAACGACCGAGTCCAAAGTGTAATATGTACCGATTTAGAACTACAATTACAAGTAACAAACATTTCTGGCCGTGGAAATATTTTTGCATGGAAATGATCATTTATCATGTCTCTCCTGTAGACAATCTGTTGTCTTTTTCAAATTTCAAATGTATTGTAACAGTAGTGATATGTAGTCAGCCTGAAACAATGATATACAACAACATAAGCAAATATAAAATATAAGCTAATAAATATATACAATCCGTTACAGCTACTCTTTGACTTTATAGATATCACTTTCATTAAAAAATATCACTCCTGTTAAATCCGTCTAGTACTGCACGTATCTATACAATACATCAATCTACACAGATACAAAATATATTAATACAATTATAAAGTGATAATGAGCTTACTGTATGTAACTTTAGGAAGTATTACAGTCACAACAACCACTAACATCAAACACTCATTCACATGCACTTACCTAGATGCATCAATCACTGATATCAAACACTCATACACATGCACTTACCTAGATACATCAACCACTGATATCGAACACTCATACACATGCACTTACCTAGATACATCAATCACTGATATCAAACACTCATACACATGCACTTACCTAGATGCATCAATCACTGATATCAAACACTCATACACATGCACTTACCAAGATACATCAATCACTGATATCAAACACTCATACACATGCACTTACCTAGATACATCAATCACTGATATCAAACACTCATACACCTGCACTTACCTAGATACACCAATCACTGATATCGAACACTTATACACATGCACTTACCTAGATGCATCAATCACTGATATCAAACACTCATACACATGCACTTACCTAGATACACCAATCACTGATATCAAACATTCATACACATGCACTTACCAAGATACATCAATCACTGATATCAAACACTCATACACATGCACTTACCTAGATGCATCAATCACTGATATCAAACACTCATACACATGCACTTACCTAGATGCATCAATCACTGATATCAAACACTCATACACATGCACTTACCTAGATGCATCAATCACTGATATCAAACACTCATACACATGCACTTACCTAGATGCATCAATCACTGATATCAAACATTCATACACATGCACTTACCTAGATACATCAATCACTGATATCAAACACTCATACACATGCACTTACCTAGATGCATCAATCACTGATATCAAACACTCATACACATGCACTTACCTAGATACACCAATCACTGATATCAAACACTCATACACATGCACTTACCTAGATGCATCAATCACTGATATCAAACACTCATACACATGCACTTACCTAGATGCATCAATCACTGATATCAAACACTCATACACATGCACTTACCTAGATGCATCAATCACTGATATCAAACACTCATACACATGCACTTACCTAGATGCATCAATCACTGATATCAAACATTCATACACATGCACTTACCTAGATGCATCAATCACTGATATCAAACACTCATACACATGCACTTACCTAGATGCATCAATCACTGATATCAAACATTCATACACATGCACTTACCTAGATACATCAATCACTGATATCAAACACTCATACACATGCACTTACCCAGATGCATCAATCACTGATATCAAACACTCATACACATGCACTTACCTAGATGCATCAATCACTGATATCAAACACTCATACACATGCACTTACCTAGATGCATCAATCACTGATATCAAACACTCATACACATGCACTTACCTAGATGCATCAATCACTGATATCAAACACTCATACACATGCACTTACCTAGATGCATCAATCACTGATATCAAACACTCATACACATGCACTTACCTAGATGCATCAATCACTGATATCAAACACTCATACACATGCACTTACCTAGATGCATCAATCACTGATATCAAACATACAGATATACATTCACATTTCCTTTCCATTGCTGTGCAGAGAGGTTTAACATATGATGATGAGTATATATATATTTAGTTTGAGTTTAATGCTTTCTTGTTCAGATAATAACTCACGGAACTGTGAGTTCATCAACAGCTATAAATATATACAAGATATATCCATTATGTCTCTAATAAATCAAATGGTAAGACTTCCGCCCGTATCCCCCTCAAAGATATACAATTAAAGGGTTGAGCGACATTGCATACATATACAACTTTTGGAGGGGGGATACGGGCGGAAGTCTTTCCAATATACACAAGTTCGACATATGTCCTCCCCTGAGAAGTAAAGTTGCAACGCTTTGGATTGTACAGAGAAACTGTACAAGTGGGCTGCATGCCCAATCACAGTCAACCATCACGTGTCGAAGGTAATCAAGATTAACGCTGGCTCTTACGTTTGTTTATTGTTTAGCGCCGCAATATTCCACCTGTATAACGGCGGATTGTAAATAATCGTGCCTGGACCAGAAAATCCAGTTATTGATATCATGAGCATCGATCCACGTAATGCGATAATATGCATCAACCAAGTCACCGAGTCTGACCACCCGATCCCGTTAGTCCCCTCTCACAAGCATTGTCGTCTTTTACTTCAAGCTAGGGTTGCTGAAAACCTATTCTACACGGATCTTCATGGGTTGCTATGTATGGTTTTAAAACGTCCTGGAAGCTTCCGAACCAAGAAAAAATGCCACAAGTAAATGAATACCATGATACATATTGGGAAAAGGAGACCTGTGCTTCTCCATGTTGTTTAGAAGCCTGTATTGAACTCGACGACAGGCTTGCATGATGAAAAGACTAATGGCTTCTTACCAGTCCGAGGGTTCCACTTGTGGGAGTGCCTAGTCACAGTATGAGACCTACAGTTTCATGTTTAAATTTTGACCAGAACTTCTAGTTTAGATGAACACATAGAATCACGGTGGTACAGGCTTTCGTCTCGATTCTCTCGACATCACTGAGCAATATCATCATCTCATAGTCACACACTCTACGTTAGTGAGACCGAGTAATATCATCATCTCATAGTCACACACTCTACGTTAGTGAGACCGAGTAATATCATCTCATAGTCACACACTCTACGTTAGTGAGACCGAGTAATATCATCATCTCATAGTCACACACTCTACGTTAGTGAGACCGAGTAATATCATCATCTCATAGTCACACACTCTACGTTAGTAAGACCGAGTAATATCATCTCATAGTCACACACTCTACGTTAGTGAGACCGAGTAATATCATCATCTCATAGTCACACACTCTACGTTAGTGAGACCGAGTAATATCATCATCTCATAGTCACACACTCTACGTTAGTAAGACCGAGCAATATCATCATCTCATAGTCATACACTCTACGTTAGTGAGACCGAGTAATATCATCATCTCATAGTCACACACTCTACGTTAGTGAGACCGAGTAATATCATCTCATAGTCACACACTCTACGTTAGTGAGACCGAGTAATATCATCATCTCATAGTCACACACTCTACGTTAGTAAGACCGAGTAATATCATCTCATAGTCACACACTCTACGTTAGTAAGACCGAGTAATATCATCATCTCATAGTCACACACTCTACGTTAGTAAGACCGAGTAATATCATCATCTCATAGTCACACACTCTACGTTAGTGAGACCGAGTAATATCATCATCTCATAGTCACACACTCTACGTTAGTGAATAGTGAGTGAGTGAGTATGGTTTTACGCCGCTTTTAGCAATATTCCAGCAATATCACGGCGGGGAAACACCAGAAATGGGCTTCACACATTGTACCCATGTCGGGAATCGAACCCAGGTCTTCAGCGTGACGAGCGAACGCTTGAACCACTAGGCTACCCGACCGCCCCTCGTTAGTGAATAAATGTAAGAGAGACATTTTCCTGTACTGTCATAGATCATTGATCTCATTGTCCTCAATATACCACGCAATATACAGATTTATTAAAGATTCGTAATTTCAGAGTGAGCATGTAAAGCAGACTTTGTTATTAATGTACACCATGGTATTGTGCTGGCTACAGCGACAATTTCAGCCTTCTCTTTAATGAAAGTTCTTTCCACTTGTAGAACTTGACGCCTGCTTTGTTGGCATTCCGCTTGATGCCGGGGCTTCCAACAGGTCTGGTACACGGTTTGGGCCAAGACAAATACGTACTGAATCTGCCCTCCTCCGCAGGACGAACATGGGGACAGGTGAGACACCCCCTCAGCCTTCTTGTCGTGTGTACAACACATATAATGGTAACAGGCAACTCCAGCAAGATCCCTCTAAAACTACTCACATGTTTCATGACATACACGTGTAAAATATGTTTGGAATTATACATGAGACCTATAAATCTGTACTGTAAATTTGTACTGACTAAAGTGGACGTTTCTACATTTACATAATATATATTTACATGCAGAAACTGACATAACATTTGAAGTCATTACTATTTTGTAACAGAATTGATATACTGGCTTAGCTTTGACACATTGTAATTGAATAGGGAGTACATATTTGAATTATCAAAATGGATTCAGAGTAAGAAAACGTTCTTTGGTGTTCAAGAAATTTGTAGAGGATCTCCAGCATCAACCATATCACAGTTTGCGCATTTCAGATGCGAAAATAATATATTTCCTCCCGTTTCATCAGGTAGATTCTGATCTGAGGTTCGGAATTTCAACAAATGTCGGCAAATCATCTATTGTTCTGATTTAAGATTTATGACATATTTTTCCAATTCCAATTTAGTTTCCATTATTAAATACATCTTACGTTGAGTTTTGCTGATTTGAAGTCCACGTTTCCCGATGGGCATTTTTGAGACTAGTTTCAATCATTAATTACAAGTGTGCTAAAGTTATACAACCTAGACCAAGGTGGTGAGAACTTAATGCATAACATCCAATTTGGACCACTTTAGTTTGAATTGTTCTAATTTGGTAAGGGTTTATGGAATAGTGTTGATAATAGCGACCTCAGCTTATGAAAAAAATAGTGAACTAGGTCATTCAGTCTGTACTGACAATCAGTTGTGTGAACTAGGTCATTCAGTCTGTACTGACAACCAGTTGAGTGAACTAGGTCATTCAGTCTGTACTGACAACCAGTTGAGTGAACCAGGTCATTCAGTCTGTACTGACAACCAGTTGAGTGAACTAGGTCATTCAGTCTGTACTGACAACCAGTTGAGTGAACTAGGTCATTCAGTCTGTACTGACAACCAGTTGAGTGAACTAGGTCATTCAGTCTGTACTGACAATCAGTTGTGTGAACTAGGTCATTCAGTCTGTACTGACAACCAGCTGAGTGAACCAGGTTATTCAGTCTGTACTGACAATCAGTTGTGTGAACTAGGTCATTCAGTCTGTACTGACAACCAGTTGAGTGAACCAGGTCATTCAGTCTGTACTGACAATCAGTTGTGTGAACTAGGTCATTCAGTCTGTACTGACAACCAGTTGAGTGAACTAGGTCATTCAGTCTGTACTGACAATCAGTTGTCTGAACTAGGTCATTCAGTCTGTACTGACAACCAGGTTAGTGAACCAGGTCATTCAGTCTGTACTGACAACCAGGTTAGTGAACTAGGTCATTCAGTCTGTACTGACAACCAGTTGAGTGAACTAGGTCATTCAGTCTATACTGACAACCAGTTGAGTGAACTAGGTCATTCAGTCTGTACTGACAACCAGTTGAGTGAACTAGGTCATTCAGTCTGTACTGACAACCAGTTGAGTGAACTAGGTCATTCAGTCTGTACTGACAACCAGTTGAGTGAACTAGGTCATTCAGTCTGTACTGACAACCAGTTGAGTGAACTAGGTCATTCAGTCTGTACTGACAACCTGTTGAGTGAACTAAGTCATTCAGTCTGTACTGACAATCAGTTGTGTGAACTAGGTCATTCAGTCTGTACTGACAACCAGTTGAGTGAACCAGGTTATTCAGTCTATACTGACAACCAGTTGAGTGAACTAGGTCATTCAGTCTGTACTGACAACCAGTTGAGTGAACTAGGTCATTCAGTCTGTACTGACAACTTGTTGAGTGAACCAGGTAATTCAGTCTGTACTGACAACCAGTTGAGTGAACTAGGTCATTCAGTCTGTACTGACAACCTGTTGAGTGAACCAGGTAATTCAGTCTGTACTGACAACCAGGTTAGTGAACTAGGTCATTCAGTCTGTACTGACAACCAGTTGAGTGAACTAGGTCATTCAGTCTGTACTGACAACCTGTTGAGTGAACCAGGTCATTCAGTCTGTACTGACAACCAGGTTAGTGAACTAGGTCATTCAGTCTGTACTGACAACCAGTTGAGTGAACTAGGTCATTCAGTCTGTACTGACAACCAGTTGTGTGAACCAGGTCATTCAGTCTGTACTGATAATCAGTTGAGTGAACTAGGTCATTCAGTCTGTACTGACAACCAGGTTAGTGAACTAGGTCATTCAGTCTGTACTGACAACCTGTTAAGTGAACCAGGTCATTCAGTCTGTACTGACAACCAGTTGAATGAACTGGGTCATTCAGTCTATACTGACAACCAGTTGAGTGAACTAGGTCATTCAGTCTGTACTGACAACCAGTTGAGTGAACTAGGTCATTCAGTCTGTACTGACAACCAGTTGAGTGAACTAGGTCATTCAGTCTGTACTGACAACCAGTTGAGTGAACTAGGTCATTCAGTCTGTACTGACAACCAGTTGAGTGAACTAGGTCATTCAGTCTGTACTGACAACCAGTTGAGTGAACTAGGTCATTCAGTCTGTACTGACAACCAGGTTAGTGAACTAGGTCATTCAGTCTGTACTGACAACCAGGTTAGTGAACTAGGTCATTCAGTCTGTACTGACAACCTGTTGAGTGAACCAGGTCATTCAGTCTGTACTGACAACCAGTTGAGTGAACTAGGTCATTCAGTCTGTACTGACAACCAGTTGAGTGAACTAGGTCATTCAGTCTGTACTGACAACCAGGTTAGTGAACTAGGTCATTCAGTCAGTACTGGCAACCTGTTGAGTGGACTTGGCCATTCAGTCTTCACTGACAACCAGTTGAATGAACTGGGTCATTCAGTCTGCACTGACAACCAGCTGAGTGAACTAGGTCATTCAGTCTGCACTGACAACCAGTTGAGTGAACTAGGTCATTCAGTCTATACTGACAACCAGGTTAGTGAACTAGGTCATTCAGTCTGTCTTGACAACCAGTTGAGTGAACTAGGTCATTCAGTCTGTACTGGCAACCAGTTGGGTGAACTAGGCAATTCAATCTGTCCTGACAACCAGTTGAGTGAATCAGGTCATTCAGTCTGCACTGACAACCAGTTGAGTGAACTAGGTCATTCAGTCTGTACTGGCAACCAGTTGGGTGAACTAGGCCGTTCAATCTGTCCTGACAACCAGTTGAGTGAACTAGGTCATTCAGTCTGCACTGACAACCAGTTGAGTGAACTAGGTCAAATCAATAACTACTGACGACCAAGTTAGTGAACTAGGGTATCAATCTGTATTGATACCCAGTGGATGTTTTAGGTCACCGAAAATGAATGAGAGAAATTGAGACATGACACTGCATTAAGCTTTAATTATGATGACTACTTGTAGGTGTGGATCCGTTTCGCTATCTCAGAGTGGCGGATGCTGGGGACATAAGAATAAACATGTTCAACCTGAAGAAGGCATGCGACAATATCCGTGACGGCATTGGCTCTATCATAGCATCTGGCTGCCGGCCTCTTACTATGGGAGGAGATCATACACTGACATATCCTGTACTCCAAGCAATGAAGGTAACATGTCTTCAGTGACATTCTGTACGCCAAGCAATGAAGGTAACATGTCTTCAGTGACATTCTGTACTCCAAGCAATGAAGGTAACATGTTTTCAGTGACATTCTTTACTCCCGGCAATGAAGGTAACATGTCTTCAGTGACATTCTGTACGCCAAGCAATGAAGGTAACATGTCTTCAGTGACATTCTGTACGCCAAGCAATGAAGGTAACATGTCTTCAGTGACATATCCTGTACTCCAAGCAATGAAGGTAACATGTTTTCAGTGACATTCTTTACTCCCGGCAATGAAGGTAACATGTCTTCAGTGACATTCTGTACGCCAAGCAATGAAGGTAACATGTCTTCAGTGACATATCCTGTACTCCAAGCAATGAAGGTAACATGTTTTCAGTGACATTCTTTACTCCCGGCAATGAAGGTAACATGTCTTCAGTGACATTCTGTACGCCAAGCAATGAAGGTAACATGTCTTCAGTGACATTCTGTACGCCAAGCAATGAAGGTAACATGTCTTCAGTGACATTCTGTACTCCAAGCAATGAAGGTAACATGTTTTCAGTGACATTCTTTACTCCCGGCAATGAAGGTAACATGTTTTCAGTGACATTATGTACGCCAAGCAATGAAGGTAATATGTCTTCAGTGACATTCTGTACTCCAAGCAATGAAGGTAACATGTTTCTAGTGACATTCTTTACTCCTGGCAATGAAGGTAACATGTTTCTAGTGACATTCTTTACTCCCGGCAATGAAGGTAACATGTTTCTAATGACATTCTTTACTCCTGGCAATGAAGGTAACATGTTTCTAATGACATTCTCTTCTCCGAGGAATGAAGCTTACATGTTTTCAGTGACATTCTGTACGCCATGCTCTGTTATCCAGTTTTGTAACATGCAACTACTATATACGAGTACTTCAGACAGTGCAGGAAACTGAGATACACTTTGGTTCAGTACATCAAGCCATTATATGACTAAGCGCATGTCAGCAGTACTCAGCACAAGGATTATAAAAAAATCGTAATAGTATTTTGAAACAAGAGACAGAAGTTAACCATGTCCCTTTTGCGTGCAAGTATCCTATGATCGTGGGTACAGATCACAGGTTCGCCCTGATGATGTTCCTTGGTCAGGCACCAAACCCGCGCTTATTAATTCCCCCAAAGACCGTGATAACACTAAAGTAATGGACACGTTTGTGATGACAGGCTCGATATGGTGCTGTTGGCCTTATCCACGTGGATGCTCACTCCGACACCAGTGACAGCATGTACGGTGAGAAGATAACGCATGCTACAACGTTCAGGAGAGCGGTGGAGGAGCGTTGTCTGGACTGCAGCCGAGTGATTCAGATCGGGCTCCGGGGTTCTGGCTACAGTGTCAGTGACTACGACTGGGCGAAGCTGCAGGTGTGTAACAGGAACGTAGTAACTAATTACGTCCGTGCCTTCCCTCTTAATACTGGTCGCGTTAGTCTTAGTAATAGATCAACTTCATTCCTCTACATTCTTACCGTTCGCTTTTGACACCAAATTTTGTGAGGCAGGGGTTCCGCATTGTGACTGGTGAGGAATGCTGGACCAAGTCGATGGTGGAGCTGATGGGTGAGGTGCGCGACATGATGGGGAGCGCCCCTGTGTACCTCTCATTCGACATTGATGCTTTAGATCCCGCCTATGCACCCGGGACAGGTAACTTTTAGTATAGAAATATTTGGTCAAGGGACCACTACTATGTTACACATGCCACGTTTACCGTCAAAAATAATGTTGCTCTTCAGATACAGTAGAAGTTAAGTTTACATTTACAGACATCGAGAATTCAGAAGCTTGTTAAAAAGGTTTCAGTTTATCTATTGCTGATGTACTTACCAGTAAGAAATGCAATTCATTACATATTGATACATTACACAAATTTTATTATATTTCCCTCGTTATGTTTTACCAATAGGAAATATGTGGTTTGTTCTTAATCAAGTAAGCCAAATTACCCGTGATGGTTCGGGGTAGAATAGGTCTTCGTCAACCACGGCTTGCTGTAAAAGGCGACTATTCTAGTCGTAAGAGACGACTAACGGGATCGGGTGGTCAGTTTCACTATCTTGGTTGATGCGTGTCATCGTATCCCAATTGCGTGAATCGATGCTCATGATATCAATCACAGGGTTTCTGTTTAAAGACCGCCGTTATATAGCTGGAATATTGCTGAGTGCGGCGTAAACAAAAACATGTATTTGAACATGTACAATTCGGGTCATATTTAAAACCATATTTTCTAAGATGATTCGCGAAAACATCAAAGGCGCCGACTGTATTTTATTCTACGATTAAGTACACTTTAATGGACTGACGTCATGGCGCTGTCCAAAGTACCTCCGTCGTGATCTAACGTATCTTTGGTAACATCGTTCTTTCATTACCGTCAAGCAAGATGGCGCATCCACTTCTATATCCGATCAAATAATTTCTCAAAAACTTGTCTAATATTTGATTATTGTTATGTCGAAATCAATACGGCAAGTTACGAGAACGAATTATGCGGATATTTGTGGTTGTAAACCCGTCTCAAAATGTGGAGAGGGGCGGAGGATAGATGGATTATATGTATATGGATATTACAGATAGAAAATCACAGGTCAAAGAACAATTGTTGTTCCCGATGTATTCTGATTTGGTAATCACAAATACAAAGGCATACATCGAGGTTAAATTAATTCTACTGTATCTGAAGAGCCACTTTACGTAATACGTATTTTTAAGTCAGCAGATGAATATGACACCCCTTCTTATATTGTTCAGTATGTCTGTTCGCTGTAACAGCGTTTTGATTTATTTAGACGGATTATAGATCTTCCTGGTAAATCTTTTCAGCCAGTGTTGGAGAGGCCATGAACAAGGAAATATTCACACAACCTAAGCTTGGAATTGTATTTTCCATGTGACATAGAAACCAAACCATTTTCATCTTACATGTTAAACATCCTGCACTGGAGGTGGGGCTACACAGTTGACAAGCGAACATTGCTCACGTTCCTGTAGCCGGTGAATGAGGACATTCTCAAAGCGACACCTGCTGCTATCCAAAACAGGACTTTCTTCTGTCAGTGTGTTATTATTTCAATATTACCTTGTAGGTACACCTGAGATAGCTGGTCTCACCCCATCTCAGGCCCTGCAGATCATCAGGGGATGTCAGGGACTCCAAATAGTAGGAGCTGATCTCGTTGAGGTATGAACGACTTCATCATATAGGCGAACAAGCACACCAGATCACAAACTACTTCGGCTCTCACATTCCGTGTATTTTCATAGCTGCATAAATATATCTGGTCTGATATCCTCAATTCAGAATCTTATTGGGTTTACTATCAGTGTATGTTTATCAGAACACCAATAGACTTCCCGTTAAGATGTTATTTAAGATGCTATAAGAGTGTTTGTATTACAGGTATCTCCTCCCTATGATATGGCAGGGACAACGGCGCTGACTGCGGCGAACCTTCTCTTTGAGATGCTGTGCGTCTTGCCTAGTCCTACGTCCAATTAATCCTATCGGATCCAAATAAAAGCTTTAAGATTCATGTCATGTTTTCTATGAAGTAAAAATATATTTTGGCTATATTAACTACTCTTTGCAGTCTTCTTCTTGGGCAAGTGACTTCAAAAAGTGTCAATATTGGTGAAGCACACAATGAGCACTCCAACCATAAAGGCGGTAATGTGTGAGCTTACCTCTGGCATCTTAGATTGTGTACTATCATTGTGCACCGATTCATTCCTATGTCACGTTGTGCATGACTCTCTTTGAGGTGGAGTTCGTGTACAAATAAGTCGTGTAACATTAATATAAGTAGTAGACTTCGAAGGCTGGCGACAGTAACTTAGAAAGTTCATAGGTCCGCCCATGGTATAGTTTAGGATGCTGTGGGTCATATACGCGTTCCTTTTACAGTCTGTAACTTGAGCAGGATATCCAACATTGACGACATTGAAATCGGATACTTAGGAATACAATTGTCTGCATACGTTAAGCGAGACCTAGGCCGTGTGCCACTCTCCGTGTATACATGTCGGCAGCACAGTGTGGATTGTTGGTACAGATTGAACATAGACCACAAACGAAGTACATGGTCAATGCCTCTCTCCGCTGACCCTAGCTGCTGTGTCCATTGCCATGGCCAAGCAGCAGGAGAGATGGGCAGCTGACCGGTACAGACTCTTTAATGTAAACACCGTGTGAACTATTACAAGCGGCAGAGGCAACATAAACACTAAACATATTCAGAGACATTGGCACTTCTTGACTGAAACCACTGAACCGATTGTTTCAATTTCCTACATTACTTTCTTGCCGCCAATAAAATAGGGTTCGTTTCAGGGTTTTCTGAAAAACTAACTTTAACTAGCCACATGTGTGGTCTTAAAAGGCGAAACAATGGAAGTAACTCGTCGAAAACAATTGTTTTGCAGGACAGATTAATAAAAAAGTGGTCACGTTAGATCAGAGAGTGAACCAATGAAGTATAGCTGAACAATAGCCAGAAGCATAAAATTATAACGTTAAATGAGGATTGCGGAATACAAATTGTCCTATCTCCTTTCTTGTATGGAAAGTGATGGAATTATTAACTTGGGGGGATACTGTTAACCCATATGCAACAGCCATTCTTCAACTAGGTCAGCGGCGATGTCGTTTAGATTCTCCTCTATACATGAAGAGTAAGCACGTGGATATTTCCAACTGTATCCATGTGCAGAATCAGATCAATTTCAGGATCATTGGCAGCAAACCCACCCAACGGCTCATCGATCAGTGTGTATGACGTTATTCTATTGTGTGTTGTATATGACGTGCTTCTCTCGTGTTTTGCATATGACGTATTTCTATCGCGTGTTGTAAATGACGTGCATTTATTTTCTATTATAATTATTCACACTATGAATACTTCTATTTTCCGTTTCATATAACAGGCATAAAGTAACCACTCACACGTAATCCCCTTTACTTCCGTGTCCAGCCACAGCCTGTAATTACGTCAACGTCATTTCCTCAGCCCTACGTCACTTCCTCTTACTAAAAGCAACGTGCTCACTCTCGCTATAACTTTCGGCATTTTTTCATCAACGCAAGTAAATTTCCCACCATCGCTTTGCCTACAGTAGCATAACCATCGGGGTGGAGGTGGAGGGGCAACACAAGTTATATTTTGTAACAATTGTTCATGTAAATATCAATGTTCGTCCAGTGAACTAGGTTTGGTGGGCATGGTGCCGGAGTGATGCACATTAATAACAAATAACGCGGGGTTCTTGGCTGCTGCTGCTTCTACAGCGGCAGTCCAAATCTTCATGCCTGTTGTTTCCGCGGGAGAGAATACAAAGTTCATAGCTATACCCGTCTGCCTTGCTACAATTATGCTTCGCCTGCATACTATCCACTCCACACCGCGCCCTCTTTTCATCTACAATGCTCTTAGTCTCATTTATTAAATATACCTTCCTTCAAAACTGTATAACATACCGCCAAACACTATCACAATGTCACTATGTGTTGTATTTGACGTGACTCTATCGTGTTGTATATGACGTGCTTCTATCGTGTTGTACATGACGTGTTTCTATCGTGTGTTGTACATGACGTGTTTCTATCGTGTGTTGTATATGACGTGTTTCTATCGTGTTGTACATGACGTGTTTCTATCGTGTGTTGTATATGACGTGTTTCTATCGTGTGTTGTATATGACGTGTTTCTATCGTGTTGTACATGACGTGTTTCTATCGTGTGTTGTATATGACGTGTTTCTATCGTGTGTTGTATATGACGTGTTTCTATCGTGTGTTGTATATGACGTGTTTCTATCGTGTGTTGTATATGACGTGTTTCTATCGTGTGTTGTATATGACGTGTTTCTATCGTGTGTTGTATATGACATGCTTCTATCGTGTTGTACATGACGTGTTTCTATCGTGTGTTGTATATGACGTGTTTCTATCGTGTGTTGTATATGACGTGTTTCTATCGTGTGTGGTATATGACGTGTTTCTATCGTGTGTTGTATATGACGTACTTCTATCGTGTTTTGTATATGACGTGTTGCCATCGTGTATTGTATATGACGTGTTTCTATCGTGTGTTGTATATGACGTGTTTCTATCGTGTGTTGTATATGACCGGTTTCTATCGTGTGTTGTATATGACGTGTTTCTATCGTGTGTTGTAAATGACGTGTTGCTATCGTGTGTTGTAAATGACGTGTTTGTATCGTGTGTTGTATATGACGTGTTTCTATCGTGTGTTGTATATGACGTGCTTCTTTCGTGTGGTATATGACGTGTTTCTATCGTGTGTTGTATATGACGTACTTCTATCGTGTTTTGTATATGACGTGTTGCCATCGTGTATTGTACATGACGTGTTTCTATCTTGTGTTGTATATGACGTGTGTCTATCATGTGTTGTGTATGACGTGTTTCTATCTTGTGTTGTATATGACGTGTGCCTATCATGTGTTGTGTATGACGTGTTTCTATCGTGTGTTGTCAATGACGTGTTTCTATCGTGTGTTGTATATGACGTGCTTCTATCGTGTGTTGTATATGACGTGTTTCCATCGTGTGTTGTATATGACGTGTTTCTATCGTGTTGTACATGACGTGTTTCTATCGTGTGTTGTATATGACGTGTTTCTATCGTGTGTTGTATATGACGTGTTTCTATCGTGTGTTGTAAATGACGTGTTTGTATCGTGTGTTGTACAAGGCGTGCTTCTATCGTGTGTTGTATATGACGTGTTTCCATCGTGTGTTGTATATGACGTGTTTCTATCGTGTTGTACATGACGTGTTTCTATCGTGTGTTGTATATGACGTGTTTCTATCGTGTTGTACATGACGTGTTTCTATCGTGTGTTGTATATGACGTGTTTCTATCGTGTGTTGTATATGACGTGTTTCTATCGTGTTGTACATGACGTGTTTCTATCGTGTGTTGTATATGACGTGTTTCTATCGTGTGTTGTATATGACGTGTTTCTATCGTGTGTTGTAAATGACGTGTTTGTATCGTGTGTTGTACAAGGCGTGTTTCTATCGTGTGTTGTATATGACATGCTTCTTTCGTGTGGTATATGACGTGTTTCTATCGTGTGTTGTATATGACGTACTTCTATCGTGTTTTGTATATGACGTGTTGCCATCGTGTATTGTACATGACGTGTTGCTATCGTGTGTTGTATATGACGTGCTTCTATCGTGTGTTGTATATGACGTGTTTCTATCGTGTGTTGTATATGACGTGTTTCTATCGTGTGTTGTAAATGACGTGTTTCTATCGTGTGTTGTACAAGGCGTGTTTCTATCGTGTGTTGTATATGACATGCTTCTTTCGTGTGGTATATGACGTGTTTCTATCGTGTGTTGTATATGACGTACTTCTATCGTGTTTTGTATATGACGTGTTGCCATCGTGTATTGTACATGACGTGTTTCTATCTTGTGTTGTATATGACGTGTGTCTATCATGTGTTTAGTATGACGTGTTTCTATCGTGCGTTGTAAATGACGTGTTTCTATCGTGTGTTGTATATGACGTGTTTCTATCGTGTGTTGTATATGACGTGTTTCTATCGTGTGTTGTATATGACGTACTTCTATCGTGTGTTGTATATGACGTGTTTCTATCGTGTGTTGTATATGACGTTCTTCTATCGTGTGTTGTATATGACGTACTTCTATCGTGTGTTGTATATGACATGCTTCTTTCGTGTGGTATATGACGTGTTTCTATCGTGTGTTGTATATGACGTACTTCTATCGTGTTTTGTATATGACGTGTTGCCATCGTGTATTGTACATGACGTGTTGCTATCGTGTGTTGTATATGACGTGCTTCTATCGTGTGTTGTATATGACGTGTTTCTATCGTGTGTTGTATATGACGTGTTTCTATCGTGTGTTGTAAATGACGTGTTTCTATCGTGTGTTGTACAAGGCGTGTTTCTATCGTGTGTTGTATATGACATGCTTCTTTCGTGTGGTATATGACGTGTTTCTATCGTGTGTTGTATATGACGTACTTCTATCGTGTTTTGTATATGACGTGTTGCCATCGTGTATTGTACATGACGTGTTTCTATCTTGTGTTGTATATGACGTGTGTCTATCATGTGTTTAGTATGACGTGTTTCTATCGTGCGTTGTAAATGACGTGTTTCTATCGTGTGTTGTATATGACGTGTTTCTATCGTGTGTTGTATATGACGTGTTTCTATCGTGTGTTGTATATGACGTACTTCTATCGTGTGTTGTATATGACGTGTTTCTATCGTGTGTTGTATATGACGTTCTTCTATCGTGTGTTGTATATGACGTACTTCTATCGTGTGTTGTATATGACGTGCCTCTATCGGAGGCGGTCCTGCGGCTTGAAGATGTTATTTATAACGGCGGCTTTTTGACATCTAAAGATATGTTTCGCCTAAGTTAAGAAGTAAATATCGATGATCAACAATTTAAGCATATTTTCTGTACATACAAGATCCACAATGGCCATACTGACACGCACATTTCTGTTTTTCATGC